CCTCCACAGCGCCACCTACATTCTTCTTACAGTTATATCTCAGTGATCCAACATCCGATCTGAACCAGATTTTTGGTGCGTCATTACTGAGAACTGATGTACATTTTAGTTTTGTTGTTTAATATTTGACTCAAGGGCGCCCCCTACATTATTCAAACTGTTTTGTCTCAGTGATATATCAGCCGATCTGCACCAAATTTATTGTGTATTATTATTTAGCCCTTGTGGACACAGTAGTAATGTTTTTTAAATTTTGACTCTATAGCGCCCCCTACAATCTTGCAACAGTTATATCTCAATGATATATCATCCGATCTGCACCAAATTTTGGGTGTATTATTATGTAGCCCTGATGGACACATTAGTAATGTTTTTTAACTTTTGACTCAAGAGCGCCCCCTATAATTTTCCAACCCTTATATCTCAATGATATATCATCCGATCTGCACCAGATTTTTATGGCATAATGTGTGACCATGTCTAAACACATTGTTAGTGTTGTTTAAAATTTGACTCAAGGGCGCCCCCTACATTATTCAAACTGTTATATCTCAGTGATATACCGTCCGATCTGCATCAGATTTTTGGTGCTTGACTACTGAGGACTTATGGACACAGTGGTGTTGTTGTTTCATATTTGACTCAAGTGCGCCACCTAAATTATTTAATCAGTTATATCTGAGTTATATATCAGCCAATCTGCACTAGATTTTTGGTGCGTCGTTAGTAAGCAGTTATGAACACATTAGTAATGTTTTTAAACTTTTGACTCTAGAGCGCCCCCTACAATATTCCAGCCCTTATATTTCAATGATACATAATCCGATCTGCACCAGATTTTTGTGGCATAATGTATGACCATGTCTAGACACATTGTTATTTTTATTTAATATTCGACTCAAGTGCGCCCCCTACATATTTCAAACTGTTACATCTCAGTGATATATCATCCTATCCTATCCTATCCCTCATGTCTGAAAGGTTGGTCAGGTATAAAGTACGGTGAATGCGTAAACTGTTGAAAAGTCTTATGCATTTCTTTAGATTTTCTTAACGTTTTTTCTTTATAGGAATAAAACCATTTTATATTAAAGTTTATACTTGGATAATTTTCTCTTGTCAGCACAATCAGCAAGGCAACACAGGGATTTGAACCCTGTCCCACAAGTGGGAGTACCAATACCATTGCCTTTTGCTTTTTTGCTATGACTAGGTAAAGCAAAACTTACATTAAGACAGCATAGAAATTTCAAAAAGTGAGATTTGATTACTTTTTACCTTGTTCTATTTCAATTCATTCTATTTACATTTTGATAGGTTAATCCCTTTGACTCTTGGAAAATTATTTACAAGACACTTCTTTTTAACAAAGGGTTGTTCATTATGGAAAGCCATTTCATTGCAAAATAAATATTGTTTAGAAATTATTCATAAATATTCATTCAAAATGAAATATTTATTTGTAATTTTTAAATACATTATTTAATTTTTAAGGCAATGGCTTTCTATAGTTCACAAGCCTTATTGTTCATGATCAATTCTAATTGTCTACTGAAAATGTACAAATATTTAATTTAATGCTGTCGTAATGCAATAAAAGAAACCTCTACTCTATACAGTTATGAATATGTACATATTTACAA